CCGACCCTGAACTTCATTCATTGTGATGATCTGATTGAGCAGGTTTCTCGTAACCTGAATGCCGAAACGACTAACATGTCTAGTTCATATCTCCTTCCCGCCTCTATCTATCTCAATGTGATAGATCGGAGGTTTTTCGGCAAAACGAATGGTTCATTCCTCCCAACGAAACGAACCGCGAAACGCGCGTGTCTTACCGGACGAGGGGCGAAGTTTGACGCACAGGCACGGACCTGGGCGACGCGCGTGACCGCACTCGTCTCCACTCCGTTGTGGGCCAAGAACGAGTGAAGGACCACCGCAAAGCGACCAACTCTGGTAGCAAGAAGCTACTAGTAGCTAAGGGCATCGCTATTAGGAACAGGTGCATTGCTACTAGTAGCTTCTTGAGCCCTTCGGAATCCCCTTCGGAACCCAAATCATTGTGGCCCCCCCTTGAGGTGTCTTTTCTAACACCATCTAGCCGCTCGTTTGCGAACGCGGAAGGCACGGGGCGCCGGGCCATTGAGCATCCAATGGTGGAAAGACAGGTGCCATCCTCAGTGCAGCCAAGGAAGGGGGATGGGCACTGCTGGATGTCCCAGAAAAGCAGTAGCTGCTTAGATTGAAACTCGGAAGGCAATGAGTTGTGGCCTTCTTCCATAGCATACGGCACCAGAACAAGAATGCAAGAATGATAGCTCTATATAATATATAGCTCTTAATTCCCAACAGGAGTTTTTCAGGGTCTCCCGCCTGTGCATTTCCAGCAGATCTCTGGAAGAGAAGTCCCAAAAAAACTGTGAAACACGGGATTCCGCAACGTTGCACCCAAATTGGACTCTGCAGCTAGGTCTGCCGCTGTGGAGTCCATTCGGGAGCTGCAGCTCGGAGGGTCTGCAAGGCGGGCCGAGGTCGACAGGGATGTTCCAACCCCCAAGCCATGGAATTCGAAGAGGTCGTTGGGGATCCGGGTGCCGGATGATTTTGTCAAACATTTAAGAGGCATCCAATGAACTATGCCTGACTCAAGTGCTCCGTGTTCGAGGTCCAACTGACTCAGCGCTCTTTGATGCTCTTGGTGTTCAACTTCCCACAAGTTCATGTGTGCCCTAAACCACCACCCTTGAGATTGTGGCAACAGTTAAAAAGTCTTGACAGGCAGCGTGTGAGGGTGTGTGCGTGTTCGTTTGTTCAGGTCTTCGATCTTCAAGCCGACGTATCGACGTAGCCGACCGCTTGACCGGCGCACCGAACCGCGCCTTGGGTGGCCCACCAGCCTGGCGTGCGAGTGCAGTGCTGGGCTTTCAAGCAGGGGAAACGGCCAAGCTGAAGCCACTACTGGGGTGTGCAGGTTATTTGCTTCTTAATAACACAATTGGCACTTGCCAAGATGCTGCAGGTTCTCTTGAATCAATTTGGAATAGTAATTGTATACAGGGTCCTCAGTTCTATAGGTAACTCACTACTTACAGGGTCCTCAGTTCTCACTATAAACTTGAAGTATCTCAGTCAGCGGAGGTGAACTCATGCCAAAAGGCTCGCCTGTCCCTGGTCCGATGGTTGGAAATTAGGTCCATTTAAGCTAGCAGCAAACTCGAGTTGTTGTGAGGACCTCCAGCCTGCTCCATAATGAATCTCAAGGCTCTCAAGGCTCAATTTTGCTTCAGATGTCCAAATCAAACCGGACATATGGAAATGAGAACCGAGCAGGGACACATACCACACTCGAGAACACACACCCATATATCCGGACATACCCCCGAACCGCAGCTTCGCTTTTCCGGGTTCCTTTCTTTTTCCGGGGCTCGTTTCTCTCCTCTTCCCCCCCCCCCTGCACAGTCCTCCCGTCCCGTCCGTCATCCCCTTCCTCGGGTCGGTCGCGCAGAAGCCTCGCCTCGAAGAGCGCATGGAGCTTCTGCCAGGCGGTGTCCGGCAGGACACGGAAGTCTCCCTATGGGAGGCTCGTTCAACGACCCGAACTACGGGCATGGTGGCATCGGGTTTTCTGCACGGAAGAGCGTTTTGGGAAAAGGAGACTTGTTGGTTTTGACCACCAAGGAGCCATCTGAAGTCACTTTTCGTTCACTTCCCATGAAGTGTAGCAGGGGTTGGTGAAGGAAAGCGCAAGTTGTGGTCCCAGTGGGAAAGCTTCAAATCTGTCTGTCATTCCTCAGTAGAAGGTCACCACGTATTTCGTATTTGACAATAGTTGATCCGACCACCACGCCTTTTGTTTCTCAGAGCTTTTTGTGTCCAGTGGATGGATATGGATGGATGCAAACTCTAGGGGTTGTTGAGGTTCTTGCGGATGTGTCATAGGCTCTATATGGCTCTATAGGTTGCATCTGAGCAGCAAGCAGCTGCCATTTCTTGGGCATCACGTCGACAGGGGTCACCGGTTTGTTGGGGGGGTTGGGCCACCCAGTGGGGCACCGGTTCTGTTACGTCCAAACCTTCTGCGGCCCAAGAAGCATATGGGTTCGGTCTTGGTCCTTTGGCCTTCTCCTGCCCGCGGCGGTCTGCGGATGAACGAAGACTAGACGTGTGGCGGTCGGTTGCTTTCAGTTGACGTGAGTGCCTGGGTTGCTGTTGTAAGGCTTGGGAGATTGGAAAGTGGAACTTTGGAAAATCCTCTCTTTTACACTTCTTCACTCCAGCTTCAATTTGCAGTGGCCTACAAAAAAACACAATGTGAAGAAAAGAAAGCACAATATTAGCCTTTCGGCACCTTACGTTGTTACACCCACAGAACTGGAAGCGCCAATCTGCTCAAACTTGGCCATGCGAATGCTGATTAACATGTTCAAAGCAGCAAGAGCGGTTACCGGGTACGTTTGATTTTGCTGCTTTGGGTTGCAGCTCTATGGTGTTCATCCTCCACTGCCCACTCCCTCTCTCAGATTCCTGCGAATTGCTTACTAAACTAAACTAAACTAAACCATATAAGCTCAGTTCCCACCAGAAATCGTCATGTTGCAGACCAAAAGCCAAGCCCAAAATTGAGGTCTTGAACCATTCTCAACCTGCCACGTTCCACCTGGGCCGAACCAGGTGCTCCGGCCTTGCTGATGTCGACGCCCACGGTGGTTCCCTGCAGGGTGGTGAGTTCACAACGGGGGGGGTCGAGTCTAACACGTGGGAATTCCCACGATGTAGTCTCCGCAGCCTCGCCTGGAACCCGTTGACTTTATCTTGTACTTCTTGCTGCCTCAGCTGATCAAGCACCTTGAGGTATCATCTGCAGTGACAGGTTCCTCTCACCATGTCCGGTGATCATCAAACTGCAAGCGAACAATGCTTCATACAAGAACAACAACGACGACGACGACAATGACCACCACCACCACCACCACCAACAACAGCAGCAACAAACAACAAAAAACAACAACCAACAAATCATCAACAACAACAACAACCAACAAATCATGGAAACCACAAACATCCACAAACTCATAAACCATTCAAGCTAGTTTCCATACCACACTGGCAGTGTCTTTTTTTAACGGGGAGTGTCAGTTCCACTGGCCACTGGTCACTGGTTGGTCCTTTTCTGGCATGTTGCACCAACCAAACCTCAAATTGTGGGCCTGGTCGTGTGGAGAAGAAGAATGTCCATAATGTGCCATTCTTGCTTTCGCACAGTAGATTCCAATGCCTTGCACTTCAGGAGGCACTGCCTTCCAGGCCCTCACAGATTGCCAACACCCTTCATGCTAACCTTCAACAGGCCAATGACCCCAAAACCAAGAATCCACTCCCAGAGTCTAGAGTCTAGAGCTTCATTCAGCAAGTAAGTATGGACATCTGGAATCATCTGGTCTTTCAGCATGTCCCAGGATGGCGCCCCCTGCGCGCGCTTGATCCTAGGGGAACCTCCCAATCCACTCCATCCATCTCAGGAGCATCTCACCACTTTGGGAGCCACCCATCGCACGGGGCCCGTCACGTGTGGAACGTCGACCAGTTGACCGAAAGTGTGGGGGGGCACTGCTGAGACCGGGCACCGCTGGGGAGGAGAAACGCGACCAACACGAGACAGGAAGACCAGGAATGAAGAAGCCCGTGAGAGGATCACTCCACGAAATGACTAAGCTGTTTTTCATGATGAGACATTCATCATGCTTTTGTGCTGTAGGAATCGTCAAGACGGTGATCCTGAAGAAGCATTCCCTCAATCAGAGCCGCTCGGTGTCGCGACTCGCCTCGCGTGATGCTCGGTTGCTCAGCCAGTTGACCTTCACCCTTCAAAGTGACCACGCACTCTGAGCCCAGCGAGCGAAGAAAAGCGGCGCCGAACCCGTGGCATGCTGTTCAGCTGCATTTTCCTGGGTCACCTAGTGTTTTCAACACACGAGCAACGCTCTGGCTTGTCAATAGTAATAAAAAAACAACACCGGACCCATAGTTACTTAACCCAACCTGCGGCATGATGATCGTCCCGGCAATCCAATGTTAGGTGAGGTAAAGGATGCCCATCCCCCCAGGCGAACAACGACAGCATCAAAATAACATAGTTCAACAAACATGAAGGCGCACAATATGACTTTGCATTGCATTTGCTGCTGGGACATTCTCCATGCTGCTATAGCCTATAGCTTTTCAGTTTCACATGTTGCAATCGCTTTCCTTGGCGTATACTTGCCTCACGGTCCAAAAAACACATGCGAACTTTCGACTTTGACCAGTGCCCTACGGCCCCGCGGTGTGGGTTCCTTTTAAATCTTTTAAGGGACACTGGCATGTGTCTGCATCAGAACAGGGAGAACCCTGAGTTTGAGTTGATTCTTCCTTTCCCCCCAAATCCAAATGGAGCGTCTCTGGGGGGAGGAGGTCAAGTTCCAAGACTCAAAGGCCGACCCAAGGCCTCAATACTCAGAAGTGCGATGTAATTACTTGGACATGTATGGACCATCCCATCCCATCAACCTGAGTCATTGCTCTGGGTCTGTTGGATATGCACCGGTGTGTGCCACCTCGGCCCAGCTGGCCACATCTGTCCCCCTCTGAGGCGTGCCGACGCGCAGCTGCTCAGTGCTCGGGCGCTCGGCATGCGCGAAGTGCCCCAAGTCCCACCTGGCGACCCCAACCCGCCACCGGCGAGCCAAGGGGGGGCCGACCGGACCGGAGTCGATCCTGTCAAGCTGACTCCTCCTGCTGGGTCCGTGAAGCATTCAAGGTCTTGAATGAGTGCCTTTATAGCGTGAGGAATCTCACCTTCCAAACTGTACGATGATAAATCCGTTCAGTTTGACGCCATGACCTTAAGGTCCAAAACCCAGCGTCAGGTGCTTTTGCCAGACTTGCTCCCCATCACTCCATCATAGATTTTTTGTGCCTCACGGCGTGAAGAGAATCAGGTCAGGGTGTCTCATAGTCGTTGCGGACATCCAGGACTTTGCCAGGTCTCAGCCGGGTGGACGGGGGCCTCCAAGGATGGCCTCCAAGAAATGGCTTTGGGGCACCGTTGAGCTCTCCAAAAATTGATCTGGAAATAAACAAATGAAATTTGGGCACCTGTTGGTGTTTAATGCCATGAATGATGGTGGTGGCTAGCCAACCCAAACAATACCAAACAGAACTTACTTGGCACAGGCAAACCTATACTTATTCTCTCAGCTTCGGGCTCTCCCATCGACAAGCCTCTGCAGTGGCCGTCAGTGAGAGGAAAGCATTTGAAAGCATCACAGAAAGCAAACAAAGACATTTTTAAGCATAGGCCCCTCCGCCTCTACACCTCTTTTCTTGTCCTAAGCAAGGAAGGGTGATACAAAGCTGCTGTAAAGGTGCAAAGAAAGCCTCCTTGGTGGATTCGTGAAGAGAAACACCAGCCGGAGACTCACCCTGTCCGGCTCCAACCTTGCAGCTTCCGGCGCCACTCTTCTGGCTCCAAATCCTCCAATGGCCATGAAAGCGAACTACCGGACGTGACCAAGGGCGCTCAAGCAGTCGTGACACTTGGGGGAGCAAACGTCAAACAAATGCTTGTTGGTGTTGCAACCGCTGAAGAGCAAACTTCAAAAGCTGAAGAGCATTTCCATACCCTTTTCTGTCCAAGACCTCTTCCAAATTTCCACCCCCTTGAGGAAGGGTAGATATGGGCCATGTAACTAGGAAGGGTTTGTATCCCATGATCACTAACAAGTAGGCGGACTGGAAAGCTTGAACAGCCGAGGCTACCGTCAGGTCCGAAAAACCACTTGTGGGGATCTGAGACCCCAGGTCTCCCCCAGCCAGGACGGGTAACCTATAAGTCTGTTCTCTCCAGCCGGAAGGGGATCATGGCCCTTGAGGATTGACATCTTCTGATTCCTTCCTCGGTGAGGATCGGCCTAAGCACGAACCGCGAGTGTGGGCGTCCTCGCCGCGGTCGGTCATGTCCACCTGCTCCGCGAGCCTGGCGAGCCAGAGTTGGTGCCGAAGGTCTTTCAGGACCTAAAGAGTACCTGGGCCCTTCACAGGCCTACCTGGACCCGACTTCAAGTACCTTAGACAATGGGACATGACCCCATAATAAACAGGTCCTTGTACCCATTTTCCGAGGTACGAACTGAGACTCCAGGCTCCATGTGACCGAAGATTCTGGGATCTCCAAAAAGTCGTAGCAAATCACCACTGGTCCGGGGAACGGCTCCAATAGGTACATTTGTATTGCGAAGCACCGTGCGAACCTAATAACAACCCCCGTGTCCACAGTTTTTGTTGAAATCCATTTGCGTTCCACGAACTCTAAAAAAACGATCCAATATTACTGTAACATAAGATTCAATGACTGAATGTAAGCGAATGTAAGCATAAATTTGTCTGACTGCCGTCATCATTTCTTCTAACTCGTCTCCAAACAAAAGCCACACCAGGGCTTTTAATGCGTGTTTCTTCCAGGAACCCTCCGGCTTTCGCCTTTCGTCTGTCTCGTCCGGTGCACCGAGAACGGAGGACCGGGCACCGGGCGACTCAGACAGGCCGGTGATGCTCCGGGTGCAATGAGACCAACTGCTTGGCCTTGGGACGCGTGTTTTCTTTCAAAAGAACCCGAACCGGAAGCTAACGGGAGGAAGACCGGCGCGGGGGAGTTCGGGGTGGTTCAGTATGGGTTGATGTTTTACTTGGTGGTATCCATTGGTATCCCCTCCAGTGAATAAATCAAAAGAAACGACAAATGGGTACACATGGTAAAATTCGGTGAACTGGAGGGTTTTGGATGGCGGGGGCTATTCCGTGCATGCTTTTTGTGTGTGGGTTCTACTACTTAGCTCCGTCATTTCACATCATTTCACCACACCCTACTCCAGTTGTCTCCAGGGTGTTCCTGATTGACAGTTCTGCCGCTCTGTCATACCCACCAGTCCCCGGTAGTTTGGAAAAAAGGACGTCTTTTGGCCGAGGTTTTGGATGGTTTTGCGAACTTCGGAGGTTGTGTTTCATGGAAGGCTCATTCCGTGATGTCCAGTGTATACCTGCCATTGTGAGCACGTCATGCCCTGGAGCTCATGAACCAAGAGGTATATCAAGCTCCCTTCATATTCATATCCACTGCTGGTCTGTGTGCCTTGCCATGGAAGACCACACACGAACACCATCTAAAGTAAAACAGGCGGCTGACCAAATCTTGTTCAGCAGTTGTCATGCACCCCGTGCTTGATCAAAAAAATAACAATAATATCTGTCTATATATCTGGTCCAAAAGTAAGTGCAACAGTGTAACAAGTAAAAACAACGGAAATAACAAGTTAACCTGAAATCAGATTGGACCCTTCAACTATAACCAATGACGAGTTCTCTCCCTTTTCTGCACTTTGCCAATTTGCCTTCCTTCTGATCTATCGACCTCCCACGATGTGCCACGGAACTCTTCCCGCCCGGAACTCGTTTCCCCCACCCCAAAGCCCCACCACCGGAAACGCGCGTTCTCTCGTGTCGCCTTGACTCTCAGTCTCGGAAAGGCCGGTTCCGGCACCTCGGAAGAAGCGGCAGCACAGCGGTCGGAGCGAGCTGAACCAACCGTTCGGTGCCAGGGGAAACATCTGATGATTTGAGCTCTATAGGTGTTTTTAACAGAGAATAGCAGGCAAGAAGGACAATATGTTGGAATCAACAAAGAAACCAAACATAACAAAAGCAAAGAACATAAAACATGGTCTTGATGATTGTTAGGCAGTGGATGACTCGCCAATCAACGGAGGTCCGAGGTCAGGATGCCTTCGAATCAGGCTGCGGGCAGACCTCTTTTTTCAAGCAAGGTCGAAAAACAGTGCGGCGTGCCAACACGGCGCGAGAATCTCAAGCACTAGTTGCCTACTTTGCCGGAATCTTTGACGGAAGCAGCTGCTTCCTTTCCTCTGCCTCCTCCTCGATGGCTTGACGTGACTTGCCGTAAAGCACTCCTCCCAAGATGGTGAGGCTAGCGCCCACGATCTGCAGTGGTGTCAGTGTCTTGGAGTGCATGCCAAAGGCCTCGATGCCGATGATCACAAACTTGTTGGCATTGATCATGACCAAGAAGCTCGTTGCACTGATGAGGCTTTGAGCCCAAATGCTGGTGTAGCTGATGGCCAAGCCAATCACACAGCTCATCGCAATGAAGAACTGATCCCAACGCGTCAACTTGGACACAGCCAATGGCAAAGAAGAGATTTCACCACTGGCCCAAATGGCGAGGCCAACTGGAAGCAGTCCTCAGATTTGTACAAATTTTGCGCCTCTATGCAATCCAACAGCAGAACAGTTTCTTCCTAAAGAATATCATACTTTAGTATACTTTAGTCACTTCAGTAAAAATGCACCCAAAAAGAAAACAAACCGATCCCTACAGTAGAATTTCACCCAAAGATTCCAACCAAGTTGTTGATCAAGGTGATGCCAGCTTTGGAAATATCCACAGGGCATTGCTCCTTTGAAAGTAAAAGCCTTTGAAGCAATCGATCCACCACTGCGATGGCACTGTTCAGCATGACCCAGCCAATGCCCTGCCAGTTGTCCATGGGAAGTTGCCACACATACATCATGGCGCCCATCATCATCAGGAGAATGGATCCCAACATGTACTTACCTGGGTTCAAAGGATTTGAGGGCGAATACGCCACTGGTTGATCTTTGATTTAAGGAAGGTCTAGCATTCTCAGTTGGGGATAAGTGGAAGAGAAAAACATAGAAGAACTCCAAGTGGTCTTGCTTCGTTGCTGATCTGCAAGGGTTCCGGGTAGAAGCGTTCGAAGACCAAGGTCATCAAAGGCGAGGTGTTGCGGAGCACAATCACCAAAGTCATCGGGGCAGTCTTCAAGGCCAGGATGGACGTCAGGAGCATTCCACAGTAGAAGGGCACGACCATGCACCAGCGGAGCAGGTCACGCGTGGATCCTACGTGGATGTAGGGGAAGCCAAAGACTCCCAAGCAGGCGGCCGAGAAAAAGAGCTGGGCCCATACCAGGCAGCACTCCAAGGGGAAGTTCTGAATGGCCAGCTTGTTGAACAAAAGCATCCCCACCGAAGCGAAGCAGTAGGATGAAGTGGCGAGGATGGTCTGCATGTGTTCGGTGGACGTCATCTCGGAGAGGGCGTCTTCCTTTTCGCTAGTCAAATACGAAGATTGGCGTGGTATAGCGTATAGGGCGTTGCTGGGAGCCCACCACAGCGGTTTCAGCATCATTCAACAAGCCAAGACTCCCTTCAAGTACATTCCACACATGCACACACCCAGTGAGGGGAAGATCAGATCTTTGCTGGAAACCGAAGAACATGATTTGAACTGTAACCATCTACTGTAGACTCAATTGATTAATAGCTCGATACCCCAAGCCCCTTCAGAGGCCAAAATAGAGAGTTTTTACAATCCATGTCTTGGGGGGAGCTGATTCATCTAAAATCTTACAGATCCTCCAAAAGGCCTGCATTACACTGTGGATGTGTCCTTAGCACCCATTTTCGTTGCTGATCTCCAAGAAAAAATACTTTCTGAGCCTCCCGACCGGATCGATCTTGCAAACCAGTGGTCCTGCTGCACAGCCGGTGGTGTGAACACCACACCGGCTGTGGTGTTCCATGGTGTTCTCTCCCTTTCCCAGTGGATCGCAGCTTGTTAGGTAATGACATCTGATCCCAAACAACACATATTGTGAGCTTAAATGGTGAAGATCCTTCTGGCGACTGTTTGCATTGGGACATTGGATTTCCACCGAGACCTTGCAGGTGGACACCGAGGCTTTTTCTTGACGTGTCTATCTCTTCCTGGAGTGCCACCTCAATGGACCCACCTGCACCGGATAGCTTTCTATGGTCTTTTTTGGGGTTCTACATGTTCCTCTGAATCCGGGTCAGACCGGGCACTTCTCCATGGATCCCTCCCCACTCGGTCGAACTCCGCCTCGACAGGTGCGGAAGCGTCTGGCCTGCAGTCTGTCCGACGGTTGCCCAAACGCACGGGAAGGGTCTGACCGTCTGACCCGATTGAAATCTCTTTTTGCAGGCCCCCAGGACAACGCAAAAGCTACAAATCCATACAAATCCAACTTTCAAGTCAAGATGTTTGGCATGAAAACTCGGGAAATGATCTTGGAAATCAAACAAACTCTCAGGTGAGGGGTGACCTTGGGAGTGTTCCAGGGCGCAATTACCCCACTTGGTGTGTGTTGCAGTCGTCGTAGAGGTCATGTGCTTGGCCGAATCTGTCGGTTTGAGGTTTGCAAAGTGCACCGGTCGCCAGGTGTGCCGGTCGCCTGGAATCCCAGAAGACCCTGAGGTGACCATGTCGAACACCTCGTCGTGGGAATGCACGTGCCGGGTTGAAACATCTGAATGATCACTCAGCGATGAGCTCGTAAGGCGATTGGGCTGAAGTCAAGTATTGGTCGTTGCCCGGGGTAGAAATCAAAGCTACATTACCCTGTTTCTGCGAAAACGCTTGCCTTCTTCCACCTTCCCCGAATCCATTTTTCACGTTGCTCCTAAGTTGCCCACGACAAAGTCTGCGTACCTGGTTCACGCGCGGGTCGCGGCAGCCTTCTTCATCACAGGAGGGTCCCAAGTGAGGGGGAACCCCCGTGTTTTCAGCTGTGAGACAGGCGGATGCCCATGGCATGTGATGAAGGCTAGCCTGTTACCCACATCCCTCGAGGCGTTTGCCCATGAGTTCCAGCTGTAGTAGTGTCCAGACCATAATAACCCTCAAGATCCTTCAAGCCCATAAAATATCAATGTATGTTGGGTCTATCCTATTCCCTTTAGCAGTGGATGATGATGGTTACTAAAGGCCTTTCTTTAAAATAGTGATAATTGTCTACTGACTGTTGCAGGTATTTACAGGTAATAGGCATAGGACAAACCCAACATATATGCCTGCACTTTTGCAGTCTCATCATGTCTCATCCACCGCGGGTCTTTCGTCGAGCTTTCTACGCATCAATGAACATGAACTTCTATGAGCACAAGCTATTTGCACTTCCGAGTTGTTCTGGAAAACTCTTGCTCAAAAAGGTCAACACCAAATACCACTAGGAGTGCAAGCACTAGCGCCTCCAAGTTGCTCCGTTACACTAGCCAATTGTACTCCAAAGGTACACGCCGCACTCACCCCAGCAGTGTTGTGGTCCGCACCTCTCACAGTCCTCTGTCTTCCCACTGATCTGGACGTTCAAACCTCTGCTGGAGACCTTGACAAAAACTGACACCGGGGGCCTCTTCGATGGATGTGTAGCTCGTTGAGCGTCTTCAAAGGGCGTCCATTTAAACAACAGTTTGCGAGCGCTGCTTGCCCTTGGTGCTGTCAGTCGAAGTTCTTCTTTTCTTGACTAGCTGCCTTCCAAAAAAACACCTGAAGCACACTGTGACACCAGTACCAGAACTTCCCCGGTGGTGTTGGGGACTTTTTGCCCAGCAAGTTCGACAAAAACAACCTATACATAGCGGTCCGTCAGCCGCAACACAACTTCAAAAATTATGGAAGTGAATATTTTCCGAATCGAGAACGTACCAAACATGAACGGATCAGGACCCACCAATAATCACACGTTATAGTCACACCAAATAAGATCCCAAAGTCGGGAATCCCTCTATATCCCTCTTGCAAGTGCATTAATTAGACATAGTTTCTATATATGTGTCTTTCTATCTGCTCTCCCCGTGGTTGGCCATCCGAAATGCTAAACATTAGCACTCCTCACACTGCGCCGCAGCGTCCCCCTGAGCCAGTGGCCCACACGCGTCCCAGCAAGCCACGGGACCTCCCAAGTTCTCGACCGACGTGGCAACTGATGTGGCCGGCCACTTGGATGAATAGATGACTCGAACCCCGCCATTTTGGATTATACAAATCGGAGTGAATGACGCGCAAGTCACAGTACTACTGTTAACTCTTGATGAAGATAACCCCCCGCACGACGTGAAGTAGAAGGGCTTTTCAGGCTTGGGGGGGTTGGACATATAAGCAAGAGTCTCTAGATTAGAGCAAGTCGAAGTAAATTACACTCTGAAACAATCATGGCCAGCGGATGGCATGGCCTTGCAAACACAGTTTTTCGATTGCAGAACAGGGGATTGTCCACTTCCGTGTTTGTCAAAGGGAGGGTAGTACATACAACAGCCTCAGGCAATCCCAAACACACATTCTGCTGCCTTGTAAAATCGAACGCCATCGTGAGCTCTCCCGGTTACCGAGATGTTGTTGAGAGAATTCCCTTGAGACCTCTTAATGTTTCAGTCTGATCTGGAAACTATATCTGTATATATACTCCAAACGCACCTGGCCTGCACCAAGCTTTGTGTTGCAAGGCCTCTTCCTGTGGCGCCTTGACCTTCCGTGGCAAAGTGTTGCACTCACGCGAAAAGGTCCGCCAACTCAGAATGTTACGGAACCGCCTAACTTCTGCACATCTTCCCAGAAATACATGGGCAAACAAAATACCCCGGAAGCAAGCACAGCTGGCCAAATCTATCGTCGGTGTGCTCTTTTATCTTTCCAATCTTGTCACTGCCATGAACAAAAAACAAGTCTTCCTGGGTCCTTTGGATTGAGGTGTTTTCAGGATCCAAAAACAACCGTCAACAACAGTCATCGACCTAAAGTTCCAAAGCTGCGCTAGCTGCGCAGCTTGGGATCGTTCAGCCATAGGAACAATCAGAATGATCCCAACCCAGGGGACTTGTAGAGCTCCAACGGTGGTTCTCTAAACCTTCTTGAACAACAAGCTCAAGGAGTCACAAGTCGGGGTGGTTTTCAGTCCCATCCAGTGAGTGGATAAGGGGCAACCTATCCTTTGTGACTCCTGTTTTCTTGATTTGTCCTGTTCCAACTTTGGACCTTTCCCGCTCACTCAAGTCCTGGGTCCCACGCAGGGTGGACCAGATAGAAGGCCAAGACCTAGAGACAATCCAATAGAATTTCTCCAGTCCGGATCAAGCTGATACAAGAAGTACATTGCTCCAAAGCTCTTCACCCAACACCCGCACATCTTGCGTTGCAGTCAAATTGTCATCTGCCATATGCGGTGCAGTATGCGGTGCCTCCTCCATAGAAGCATGGTACAGGGCCCGGGTGCTCTCAGCGCTGCAAGATGGGATGGTCCACATGATATATGGTAAAAATATATATGGTATATAGTGCCATAGACAGCTATAGTGGGCCCTCAACTCACGTCCAGTGATCGAAACCGTTTGGATCTGACGGCTCGGATCTTGAACCAATAACGAGCCAAGGCGTGTGGATTGGACCATCCCTCAACGAAACATCCAAAAGGCAAAACAAACATTTGCCCGATTGCCCCTATGAGTCCACTGGATTACCGATTGCCCCTCCATTAGGGAAACAATCCAAGGTAGCACGGGCCGTCAATTTTTTTCGCGAGGCGGCAAGCGCGTGCAAGCGCGTCTGCTCAAAGGTCGTGGGCGAAGCGGCAGCGATCGTGGGGGCAAAGTCTTCCTTGCTTCACATACCTGGCAGAGCGAGCCGATTTGGGCGGAAAACACTCCCTGCTTGACATTAAGGCCAAACCCTCTGATCGTCTATGTAGTTAATGCATTCACTTGCTTTCTTGGGGAGTAAAACAGTAAAACACATGAAATCCTCAAAGGCAGCAGTCATATGCTGTAAATAGGTACCTCATCTCAAAGATGGCTGACGCCAAGGGACATGCAGGGAGTCGACTTGTGATGCTGCGACTTCTCCGTTTTCCTCGGCGGTTCTGCGAATTTCTCAGCTCCGCAAGTTCTCCCCGTGGATGATGGAATTGTTTGGACCCACCGGTCTTTTGGTCTTTCCAAACAAAGGAGCAGCTCTTTTTGGCGAAATCATGGTCTTTCCCCTAATCATCCGCAAACTGCCAGTTCAAAAACGCCGGGTCCACGCGCGGTGATTGGGAAGGGACGCAGATCTGCCTGTTATATAGATAGTGAGGGAGGTGTGAGTTGGACTGTAAGATGTGGTGCTGATCCGCCTCACCAACCCTGCTTGTAATCATTTGATATCTGCAGCGTCTGATTCAAGGGTCCCTTCTGCTGCCACGACACTGACTTGCCTGCGACCTGCGAATCGGGAACACTGGGAAAAGGCAAGGGCAACGACACGTAGATCAGTTGAGTGACTCGTTTTCCCCACACCAAATAGTGACGCTGGCCTGTGGTCGGGTGCACGAAATGCAAGGGGACCCTGGACTATCATCTCAGGTTGTTGTTTGGGGTACCCAACATCTGCCGACCAGTTGAGAACCCTCGAAAAGACCCGTGCTGTAATATATAGCCGTTGAAAGAGGGAGATGAGATGTCCATATCCTGCTGCCAGCTTCAAGGACTGCATTGTTATAACGCGGAACCAAACATAGTCAATCACGTTAACTGTGGATGATGTAATTACCAACCCCAAATAGAGATGTCTTACCATCCCATAGTCAATCACGTTAACTGTGGATGATGTAATATAACCAACCCCAAATAGAGATGTCTTACCATGTCTTACCATCCAGGCAAAAACAATTACAATGTTCACCAACGGTCAACATGAAGATGGCTGGGCATTTTAAATGATGGCCAACGGTTGACCGACAGATTACCATGTCTTCCTCTAAAACATCACAAAAACGCACTGCGCTCATCCGTTGATCGGCTGGGCTTTTTTCACAGAAAGACCGAGCAGTCTGATCCTGGATCCACTCCACCACCCCGTGCGGATCCGACGCCTTTTCAAGGAATGTTCCTTGATGTTCCTGGGTGCCAGGGTCTCTGAGCCAGGACACCCTCCTGAAGGGGTGGGTGCTCTGGATTCTGGATGGTGCAAAAACATCCCGCGCCCAAATCAGGTTGCAAAGCAATGGACGGAATGACTCCCCATCACCCCGAAAAAGGACATTGGTGTTCACATGTGTTCACACTTGATTCCGGGTAGTGTCAGCCCCTTTGGCTTGGGATCTGAGCAGCAGGGGCACTCCACTGCAGGCTCCCTGAATCAAAGAACAAACCATTCCTGCAATTCAAAACAGCACAGGTACTCTTCACATCTGTAATGATCTGTTTGACGGGGAGGCTGCACACATTTTCCTGGGCTTCGATCCGGGATGTTTGAAACCACTTCTTGGCCAAGCTTCTTCAGCTTCAGCTTCAGCTTCTCTTTGGAGGTCAGTGGCCGCCCCTTCTCGCGGGATTGCCTCTCCTGTCGGCGAGGTCGACGGACATCGGTGGACATCGGTGCCGCTCAGGACCCGGGGAAAGTCCGCTGAAGGCCATTTTTCAGCTGGCGCAACAGCAATTATGCAACGTGACTCGAGGCCAACATCTAAAAGTGCTCAATTGTATGTTGGACGGTCTGCAATCAATGATATTATATAAGTACATCTCAGAGTCTCAGAAGGCCTTAGGGGACATGAGGCGGTTGAAGCTCGGATCTTATGCCGAGCACCCAAAAACTTCGATCTCATCCACGGTGGCAATATTGGCCTCAGCCAGGTACGACAAGTGGCCACCCGTGCCAGATCCATTGTAGCTGTATCCGATCGAGAACTGTCCCCTTGCCTGATTGCCGTGTGTGACCAAACGCAAATCATGTCCCCCGAGTCCCCCGCCGAAGGTCGGCAAATAAAATGCATCACAGTAGATGCCGTGCTGGTGATTCTGGAAAATGCGGTGCAGTGACGGCGTGGCATTGGGCCCACAGAGGCGGAACAAAAAGGCATTGTCACATCTCATGTAGGATCCACCGCTAGACCACTCTGCATCGGTGTAGCCACCGAAGATGTAGCCTCCAGTGCTGCGAGCGATCACAACCGTCGGCCCCTTGTTGTCACACTTCTGATGAAAATTTGCCGCTGCAAAGCCGTCTTGTGTGGCCTGAGTCGCTCATCCGTGAGGGAGTTTGACAAGACCATGGCCCTCTGCCTGTTCAACACAAACATGAGAAACTTGTAGGTCATCACAAAATCCTCCGGCTGCATGCGAAAGCTCATGCCATCAGAAGCCTCCTAGGTCCTGCCCTTAGGCCCTAAGCAGATTAGTGGTACCAAGGCTCCCATGACCTATGCACAAGTTGAAAGTTCCGACGCAGGGTCAAACTGAATAGTCACGATCAAAAGATATCAAAAGCAAGAAGAATCCAAGCTGGGGAAGTGGCAGGTTTACACCTCTCATTCGTTCCAAGAGGCTCGGTAGAGCAACTTCAGCTTCTTGAGGGGCAGCCAGTCCAACAACAGTTGCTGCTTCTCCAGGTCAATGACCAGTTGAGTGTCCACGAGGCTCTCTGACAGCTTCATGGCTTCCAAGTTCAAGTATTCCGTAAAGCGGTTCCATGCACCAATCTTAGGGGCTGGGATTTGCGGAGGAAATTCGCGGCCCAGGAGGCTTTTGAGCCTCAAGTGCAGCATAAGCAGCTTGAAAAGCTCAGGGTCTTCGTCGAAGAACACTTCTCCGTCCACCATCTCATCACGTTGCATGGTCCAGGCCTGCTTGGCATGCTACAAACAGTTGCATGATGTTGCACTGCACTATGTATACGGGCGAACTGAGACTTGGACGGGGTGTCAAGTGATCGTACGAGATATTTCTTGAAACAATTAGCGGCTGATGATAGCTGATGGCAGATCAATTCAATCCAATGTCATCTGAGGGACCTAATTCAACGCATCAGACTCGATACCAAGGCCAAGGTAGCTTACATCTATGTCGCTGAGGTTGCTCAGTAGCGATGACCACAATTCTTTAGACCTTGAGGCGATATGCCTCTTTAAAGCCACCAACAACAGTTGTCCCGAAGGCCTCCAAGGCCTAGGGCAATTCCGCAATGTGCAGTGTAGGTGCTCTGAAAACTCCAACCCCTTTCCCTGGTCTACTCGGTCTACTCAACAACCAATGTAGACGTTGCACTGTGCATGCCATATCTTTGCAGGCCCCAGCCTCTCCAAATTTTGCTGCCAACTGAGAGTCCTTTTCAAAGAGCAAGGTCGACCGAAAGGTCTCCTGGTCCGGGAGGACAAGGCTTGAGCGCCTACACTTTGACCCTACCGGTTACCAACACGGTTGGTTACCAACAGGGTTGCTCATCTTCCGGCTGATCTCTAATGCAGATCTCCATATGTCTCCGTGATGGGCGGCAATGTTACGTTGATAAGCAGTGACACATGCCTCTTAAAATTCAGAGCTGGCGCCGCTTGGAGGGAAGTTACGACCCAGTGTGTCTCTCTCTCTCTCTCGAATTCAAGCCCCTTGCTGGTAGAATTTGGTAGAAAACTCGGAAAAAGCTTATATATGAGCCCCCGTCTCCAGAACCACTCCGCTCACATTCAGCCGGATGATGTCCGCTCCACCGTGGCCCAAGTCGCCGGAACGGCCCAGAAACTGCCTCATGAAGTCCACCTCGTCTGGTCTCAGAAACCCAAACCGGTTAAACCAAAATTCAAGTTTAAGTATAAAATAGTATCTAATATATGTTAATACATGTTAATACTATAGTCGTTTCAACCAAAATTCATCGTTTGTCTAATTGCCCATGCCTTCCAGTTTGTTGAAACGACTATAGTCTTGGATCCTATGTTTCGCTCGAATGACAATGAACGTATTGGTCACCCCCTGGGAACTACCCTGGGATTATCCCATTTTTGGCATTCGGAACATCAGCTCATCAGCATTCATCAAGGCAACTTCCACATTGTTTGGGGTGTGCAAGAAAAATCACGGTGCAAGTGATGCCAGCCATCGTAAAAACTGGCCGCCCACCTCAACGTCCGTGGCCTTGTGCTGCGCCTCCAGCAGCCTGTTTTGCAGAAAAGTCTTGCACCCGTAGTCAAGAGCCGCCTGAGTGACAGCCACCGCCTTTTCAACAAGACCAGCATGGGATTCATCCATCTGCTGCTTGCCCTCAGTGATGGTAGAGCCCAAAGCCTC